TCGTCTCCGCACCCAGACGACGGGGCCATCGGCCATCTCGTAGATGGAGCCGTCCTCCTCGGTGTGTGCCGGCGTGCCGCCGACCGGCGCTTCCCGCACCGACAGCAGCTGCCCGGGGAGGTGGGAGGTGGATCGGAGGCGATATTGCAATAAAATCCCTTTTTTTCTCATTTCCCGAGGCGGGGGGCCATCCAGCTCGGGGGTTTTCTCTTCCTCACCCTCCTCTTCCTCCTCCTGGTCGCCCTTTAGCACGTCGGGGGCCAGGGTGCTCAACGCCACCGCCAAAAACTCCACGGGGCCACCGTGCCCGTTGAGGGACACCATGCCTTTTCCTGCCAAAAAAAAACACAAAAAAAAGAGGGGTTTTGCTAAAAACGAGCCCAAACATAAGGCTGCACCCACGTAGGGAGGGGTTTTTTGGGTGCTCACCGGTGATTTTGGGGATGCCCTCCAAGCGGGGCACGGGCAGCAGCACGATGATGCCCTGGTCGGTGCCCACCCAGAGCGAACCCTGGCAGATGAGGAGGCTGGTGACCCGGACGTGTTTTTGTCCTGCGAGGGGGGGGGGAAGAAAGAAAGAAAAAAAAGAGTGTGAGGGATGATTTTGCAGCAGCATCTTCCCAGATAGCCCCTCACCAGCGGATTTTTCATGGGGAACACACTCCAGAGCCCCCCAAAACCAAGCGGCATCTTTGCACGAAGGTCTCCATGCCAGGGAGAGTGCTACAAATATAAAAAAATAAAAAGAGGCAGGAGGGGGGGGGAAGAAAGTGAGGCTTCTAATGGCAAATGAATATTTTATTGCCGGGACTCAGCGCTGCATGGCGTCGGACTCGGCGAAGCAATATATCTGCGGAGATGCAACTCCAGTTTCTCCAGGAGGACTTTATTAATGACCTGTCAAGTTAAAAAGGATGAGGGAGCACGAGTTCAAAAACGCATTAATACCCAACGCTCACTCGCCCAGGAAGAAAAGGAAGTGATAAATATTTTAACGTGCCCTAAAAAAAAAAAAAGAAAAAAGCGACTTACATGAGTATCGTGCTTATAACTAATTACACAATTATGTTGCTCTGTAGCTGGAACAAGGGGGGAGACAACCTGGCAGGCCTGGGGCGGGTGAGAGCAGGATGGGTGGACACGGCTAGGAGGTGGTGCTGGACGGTAAGCTGGGGAAAACGGGGCGCACGGGGCGATGGCGGCGGGGTGCATGCATGGATGCACACAGGGGTGCAAGGACGCGTGCATGGGGACGAAGATGGGCACAAGGATGGGGCGCAAGGACGCGTGCGTGGGGACGAAGACGGGCGCAAGGACGCGTGCATGGGGACGAAGACGGGCGCAAGGACGCGTGCGTGGGGACGACGCGTGCATGGGGACAAAGATGGGCGCAAGGATGGGGCGCAAGGACGCGTGCATGGGGATGAAGATGGGCGCAAGGATGGGGCGCAAGGACGCGTGCATGGGGACAAAGATGGGCGCAAGGATGGGGCGCAAGGACGCGTGCATGGGGATGAAGATGGGCGCAAGGATGGGGCGCAAGGACGCGTGCATGGGGACAAAGATGGGCGCAAGGATGGGGCGCAAGGACGCGTGCATGGGGATGAAGATGGGCGCAAGGATGGGGCGCAAGGACGCGTGCATGGGGATGAAGATGGGCGCAAGGATGGGGCGCAAGGACGCGTGCATGGGGATGAAGATGGGCGCAAGGATGGGGCGCAAGGACGCGTGCATGGGGATGAAGATGGGCGCAAGGATGGGGCGCAAGGACGCGTGCATGGGGATGAAGATGGGCGCAAGGATGGGGCGCAAGGATGCATGCATGGGGACGAAGATGGGCGCAAGGACGCACACACAGGTGCCAAGCGGGATGCATGGATGCACGCAAGGATGCACACAGGTGCAAGGATGGGCTGCAAGGATGCAGGCACAGGTCAGATAGGGGCAAGGATGGGTATGTGGATGCAGGCACAGCGCAAAGATGGGGTGCGTGGATGTATGCAAGGATGCACAGAAGTGCAAAAGATGGGGTGCAAGGATGCATGGGTGCGTGGATGTGCAAGCATGGGGTGCACAGAGGTGCAAAGATGGGTTCCGCGGCTGCATGGACAGGTGCAAAGATGGGTGCAAGGATGAGGTGCACAGATGCAAAGATGGGATGCACGGATGCATGCACGGGTGCAAAGACGGAGTGAGTGAATGCACGCCCATGTGCAAGGGTGGGGGTGCACGGATAAGGTACACGTACAGGAGCAGAGGTGCAAAGATGGGATGCACGGATGCACCTACAGGTGCAAGGATGCCACCAGCCCCACCTCCGTAGTCAATGAGGAGAGACCCCCCGAGGTCCAAGCTCAAACCTTTACACCATGAACCAGATAAATTCCTTGCACGGTTTCTCTGCAAATCAGCACAGCCATAAAGCAAAGCAACACATCTATGGAGTGATGCCCCAACTTGCCCGTTAATTGCAATTAAGAGCCGGGGGGAAGCTCACCCGGCAGGACGAAGGTGGTCCTGGTGGCGATGTTGATCTCCTGCAGATGCTCCAGTGTCTCGGTGTGGAAGAGGCGGATGGAGGAGCCCACGGAAAAGGCCATCCAGACCCCGCTGCCCGCCTTGATCATGTGCGTGACGCTGGCCTCCGTGTCCGGGTGGGCCTCGAAGGTTTGCTGCCAAAAGGGGAATTGCAAAAAGGAAATCAAAGGGGCTGCTCCCTAAAATTGCTGCTACCTCAGACTCTCTCCAGGGCTTAGGGCTGCAAAGCTGCACGGGGAGGGGACCAGAGCATCCTTGAGGTCCCATTCCTCCTCGCCAGCTCCGGCTTGGGCAGAGGACACTGAAACCAGCCCGTCTCCAAACCCCTCCTGGGATTTTTTTGGATGATAATACAGCCTTTCCCACCCCTCCAGGTTTTTTTTTTCTTCTTTAAAAGACTTTCCCGGACTAGATGCACCTGCAAAATCCATCCCAAGATGGGACGAGACCTTCTATCTTCCCTCCAACCCCAAAAAAACCAGCCATCAAAGGCTCAGCTCCCCTGCAAGAGCTATTTGGGGATCATGGACTGGTCCCATCTGCTTCCCAAGCTCCCTGCCGGAGCATTTCCTTATCAGACAGGGGAGGCAAACTGCAGGAAAAACACCTTTTTGTATCAAAAATCACCCCTGCTGCAGATTTCCCAACGTAAAAAACTCATATTAGCATCGAAGGATTAAATCACTGGGGGAGAAACCTGCACGCAGCGACTTCGCCTTCATTTCTCCTATGGCTTTGGAACATTTTTTGCTTTAAAATTTGCTTTAGATAAAAAAAAAAAAGAGGAGCAGGTATTGATCCCCTTCCCGGAGAGGACCGGCGTAAAGCATCCCCCCAAAAAGCTTGTACAAAATGGGGGTGGATAGAGACTTCTAGGTCATCTCCCCCTCGTTCCCCACCCGACATGGGATTTATTCCCTGATGGTTTATTCCCAGGTCACCGGTCCCACCCAGGCGGACCCAAGACCCTATTACACAGCTCTCCATCAAATACTATTT